ATGACATTGATCTACCAAATATAATAATTTTCCATCTTTTTTTTTTCCTTTTTTTTTTTTGTGAAACTTTGAGTTTTATAATCGAATGTACAAACACTGCTGTAAACTTCTTATCCAATGATACAAAGTAACTATGACATTGATCTACCAAATATAACATGTTTCCTTCTTCTTTTTTTCCTGTTTTTTCTTTTGGGTGAGTCAAAGTAACTATGACATTGATCTACCAAATTTAATATGTTTCTTTCTTCTTCTTTTTTTTCCAGTTTTTTCTTTTGGGTGAGTCAATTGGGAGATGTCCCTTACTTTTGACAGGAATTGATAGGACATAGGTTGCAATTTGTCAAGCGCTAACCAATTAAGGTGGGGCGCTTTTCTTATATATAGTTTTCCTTTAGAATTTGCTTTTTTTTTTTATTTTTTTTATTTTGAAGTGGAGTAAATACTTGTGGTTTCTATAAGGTTGCAACATTAAACAATCCACTTAAGGCGCACCTCCAAAATTTATCATAACATGTAGTTTTGGTGGAAAACATTCTTAGGATTATCCCAAAATCTATTTCATATCTAATTATAAAATTTTAAACTCAAAAAATGGTTAAAATCAAGTAGATCTACAAACATATGAAAATCTTGAAATGGACGGTCTAGATAATGTGTTGCAAGATGCACTATTTAGGGACTCAAAATATCATTATTTTTTCATGTTCATACATTTTGATGCCAAGATGATCAATTAGAGGGTTTTTCAATATTAAAAAGGCTTTGCCGTTAGATTTTTTAGGTGCATTTTTATTTCTACATTGTAAGGTTGCAACCTTTTATATAAAATTTTTCCAAGGAAAAGTGGGGTGGACTATTATACCTCTGTAAAGATTTGTAGTTTTGTAGCATAAGGTTATTTGGGCAGTGACTAATGCAATGGTTGTATCATAGTATAATGCAACCACACTTCTCGAAAACCATGTTTGTGGAATTTGTATGACCCAAAATTTTGCACATACACTCTATTCATCTCAATAATGAATCCCAAAAAAAAAGTTCAATTTGAACCCTAGATATGGTTAAAATGAGTCATCTCCAACAATGAATCTAGACCATTCATTTGGTGAAATTCAAGATCTTATCCTTTACAAACTCAAAATTCTTTTTTTTTTTTTTTTAACATTGTTCATCTAATGATAAGAAAGTCATCTAAAAAAATAAGAAAAAATAAATAAAAAAAAATCATTCTAAGGCCTAGATCTAAGCATCTTATCAAAATGAACAGCCTATGTTAATTGGGCTAACGGTTATGTTATTAATTTTTATTTTTTTTTGTGGTTGTTCATTAGAATGAAAAGAATGTATATTCTAAAATTTGGATAAAATAAATGGCCCTAACATGGCTTTTTAAGATTGTTACATTATACTATGATACAACCGTTGCAAGAAATTTTAAAATTTATTGCAAAGTACATTTTAAGTTCCTTTGCAATTTACACAACGTCGATATGATTATAAAGCTCCCAATTGTAAATTGCAAAGGGTCAAATTTACCATATATATATATATATATATATATATATATATATATATTTATTTTTTATTTTTATTTTTTTAGTAACAAGTACTTACCTAATTTTAATTAAGTAGAGTATAACTA